GCTCTTTGATGTTTGAGGATCTATTTACTATTGAGTGTTTGTAACGTGCTGCATGAACATGCACGACTCAACCATGCACGCTGCATGGGCAAAGCCAAGCCATGAGCAGGTGAACGTCTGCAAAGCTTTCCTTTCTCCTCAATGGAAAAGACAAGCAGTTAGGCAAAAGGACTGGCCTTGGGATGTGTGGGGCTGGATGTCTGCTGGGCTCCTGCCCTGGATGTCAGTGACTTGTAGGGGATGACATGACCCCATGGTTGAGTTTGGGGCCGAGCACCAGGAGCCAGCCCACTCTTGTCATGCAGGTGGGTCTGTGTCCGGTGGCTGTAGCTCAGGGATCACGCTCAGGTTAGAAACCCAGGGGATGAAGTGACACCGAAGCAGTTACTTGCTTTCGCACTTGAATGTGCCCTGCGCTGGGGATTCCACCATCAGGGGATGTGGGTAGGAGCACCCTAGTGCTGCTTTCCAGGGCACCCCAACCACCTCCTGATCTGGGGGACCTCTCCTCCCTTGTCGCTCCTTCTCCTCCAGGACCGCAGCGCCCTGTGCAGCTCAGGTGGGAAAGGGCATCCCGGGTGCTGGCAGCACTCTGGGGCAGGAGCAGGCTGCTGCTGGAGGGCTGTGCGCTGCGCGCCCATAGGAGCAGCAGCTCCGGTCGCCAAAGTCAGACCCGAGAGAAAAGAGAAACCTCAAAACTTTTATCAAGATCCTGAACATCTGCAGAGACAAGAAAAAAAACCCTCTTGCATGTAAAGGAAGAAGCGGCTGAGGGGGTTTTCTGCCGTGTGGGTGTGTGGGTTTAGCTAGGACTTGCTCAGCTCTGTAGCACATATCCCAGCCTGTGGGGATGGCTCCTGCAGCACCCGGCTCGGCGCGGCGCCTTCCAGCCCCACGCAGGACTGTGCCCGTGGGCCATGGCGTCCCACGCTGTCCCCTTGCCATCCCATGCAGTCCCATTCAGTCCCACGCTGTCCCCTTGCCATCCCATGCAGTCCCATTCAGTCCCACGCTGTCCCCTTGCCGTCCCGTTGCCATCCCACACTGTCCCATCCTGTCCCATGCTGTCCTATGTCATCCCATCCTGTCCCATGCTGTCCCATGCCATCCCATGCTGTCCTACGTTGAACCATGAGAGGACATCAGAAAACCAGCAATAACCACCTCATCCTTGAGCGACAATTGTCACCATGGCTGAAGTGTGTTATTAGTGGGAATTCCACAGGGAAAAAGTTGACTTTCTAAAGTAGCTCATTTCTCCCCCAGTTCCTAAATGCCTTTTCCTAGCACTGCTGCGAGCAGAGGTGACACTGCTTGGGGCACCCCATGGCTCTGCTCACACCAACGCCCCGCACGGCTGCCCTGGCTCGGGTAAACCGAGCCACAGACCTCCCCCTGTACCCCGTCAGAGGCTTGTAACCAGTTGTGAACTGTTAAATTCCCTTAGAAAATGTAGGAATTTGAATGTTAGCCTTGTTTTAATCGCTATTTCTAATTCTCAGTGAAGTCAACGTGCTGCACAGCCCCAGGGAGAACCGAACTGCACGTTTCTGCACCCAAAGGCAGGGCTTTTTCCTCTTCGTTTCCTCCTTTCCCAGCAGTGAGCCAAGGTTGGTTGCCCACAAGCACCACACACAAAGGGAAGAGCAAAGGGACAGGCTGGAGCCGTGGCCACCACAGGATGGTACCAGTGGACATGGATGGAATCAATGGGAACAGGTATGGCCGATGGCTATGATCAGAGAATGGTTTGGGTTGGAAGGGACCTTGAAGATCACCCAGTTCCACCCGTGTGGCATGGGATAGATTGCCATAACTCAGACTTAGAGGGGCTGCAGCTCCGTGCGGCAGCGTCCCCTTCTCTTCCCTGGCTCTGTAGGAAAGGGGAGCAATGGTCTCTGCTTCCAGATGGGTTGAATTTGTGCCTTCCCATGCACACAGGTGACAGCTCTGCCTCAGCACCATTGCGGAGGCAGGCACGAGGAGTGGAAGGTTTCCCAGCCAGCTGCACTTGTCCACCCCTGGCACCACGTACCCCACTTCTCCTGGGTGATTCCCAGCTCACGGCTGACTTTCCTTCTCCCATGGTTCCCTAACGCACTCAGCATGCCTTGTCCTGGCAATGGGAGGCCAAGTTCACCCCTATGGCAGTCCCGGCTGCACCGAGCCATAGGTTTTGTGGAGGAGAGACTGAGATCATGACATTAAGAACCAGTGTCAGAACTCACATGGTCCAGTGGACGCTTTAATTGTGGTGATACAAACACCTCCAGGTCTCCCCCATCACTTTTGAGAGCCTAATTTTGGACAACCCTCCCGTTTCCTTCTTTCCAGTACTCTTCCAGCTTGGCCTGGTAGGAAATCCTCATGGAGAAGCCACCACACAACGTTCAGAAGATGGTGAAGTTAACACAGCATTTTCTAACATGGAAAAAAACCACCCAAATGTGGGTCACTGTGCAGTGCCTACAGCAATGTGGTATCTCTTGAATCAGTGGCTGACTTTGCAGACGCGTGTTTCAGCCCCAGGACATGGAGCCAGCGCTGCAGCGACAGCCATGGGCTTGTGTTCTGCAGAAACCAGATTACAAGAAGTAGGAGGAAGGTGATGGAGGAGAACTGGAAATTGCATCCCATTTCCCGAAGGTGTAAGCTCGCAGGAAGCAGACAGTAAGTGCTGGCTCCTGGCACTGTCTCTGGGGTAGGGGAGTAAACAAACTGTCATAGTGAAATAGATTAGAAATGATATTTAATGTGACATTTAAATGCTATCAAAGCGAAATGATGAAGCTTTTGGAGGCATCGCCTCTGTTTACTGGTTTGGTTTGTGGTGGTTATTTGCAGATAACTGCATTGGCATTGTTAGCTGTAACTTTGAGGGCATGCAAGAGCTGTGCTTGCCTAGAAGGTGGCCTGCAGGAGCAGAACGGGACCTCAGCACTGGAACCTGGACAGAGGTTGCTCCAGGGAGTAGCAAGTTACACGTTCTGTAAGTCACGCTGTTGGCTTCAAGCAGGTCAGAAAGCAGTTTTGGTTGGGAAAAGAAGGCACAAATTCATCTTCCCTGAAGCTTTAAGCACCTGAAGTGCTTTGGGCCGTGTTTGTCTTTGCAGCAGGCAGCAAGCAGGCAGCAGCGCTGTGCTGCACAAGTAATAGTGAAAGAAACATCAGCAAATCGAAGTGTTGGTTTTCCACTAACTGTAAATACACATTTAAATAGCATCAATTCCACTTAGAAACGAGACTGCTCAGACAGGGGTGTCCTGAAGCTTCTTTTTGTTCTAGTGAAAACAGCTGCCAATTTGCTAAGTGCAGATAAACCAAAAATGTGATGTTAGTGAAGAAATCAGTGCTGTGGAGGCTGTGAGAGGGAAGTCCCTCAATTGAGTGGTGCATTGGTGCATGCTGCAGCCCTCCAGATGCTGCAGATCCCTGGCTCTGAGAGTATTGGCCACAGCTGAGGCTGCATCAGCCCCCCATCCTTTGGAAGGGATTTATACCCAGCCAACCCTTCCCTGTCAACACTTGTCCATGCAGGTGGGTGCTGGGTGCCTCCCTGGCTCTGAAATCACTGTGCCAGGTTGGACTCCTGGGCCTGCTGCAATTGTACTCAGTGATGCTTCTGTGATGGCGTGGAAAGGTATTTCTAGTTGGTACTTTTGGCTCTTACATTGCGGTACATCCGAGCTGTGTCTGCCTGCAGCTGTGCCCTCCTTGTGAAGGTGTGTACCTGCGTTGTACAGAGTTGTGCCTGCCCATCCCTGGAAGTGTTCAGGGGCAGGCTGGACGGGGCTTGGAGCACCCTGCTCTAGTGGAAGGTGCCCCTGCTCATGGCAGGGGATTGGAACTGAGTGAGCTTTAAGGTCCCCTCCAACACAAACCAATCTGTCATTCTATGATGCTTTTATGTGGAGAACAGAGCCACCCCTGTGCCGGGGTTCCTCTGCTGGAAATCCAGCCAAACCACAAGGGCAAGCGCAGAGCCACTTTCTTCACCACTCTGCCACCTGCACAATGAGCTACCGCAATGAATCTGTGCCTCGCTTGCCTTAAAACACCTCTGCTTGGTTCCGCACTACAAACAGCGTTGACCTTTGTGCAGCAGCATCATGTAAGGGCAACAACGCCTTCTCCCTGCTAGCCTGCTCCTCTTGCCCCCTCACCTTCAGTCCTTTACCTACAGGACACGGCTGGAGGAGACTCAGCCGGGAGCAGAGGCAGCTGCTGCAGCAGCCGTCACTGTGCGCTGAGGCAGGAAGCGTGGTGGTGGAGCAGGGATCCCCCTGACGTGGCGCTGGGGGTGGCTGACTCTGCCCATCTGCAGCCCAGCTTCCTGTGGCTCAAACTACTTTATGGAAGGACTGCCAGCCATGGCTTTAACCTGGGGCTGGTGGGAAAAGGCACGGAATTCACAAAGGTTGAGGAGGTGCTTCTGAAGCTGATGCGATGCTCATGAGCTGGGATGTATGCGTCATGCTAAAACAAACTGGTAGGGCAGGAAAAATTGAAAATTCAAAGTCATTTTTTTTTCCTGTTGATTGTATCTGTAAGAAAATTCCCCTTCAGGAAGTAGTGCTAGAGTCAGTGAAGACTCTTAGTTAAAACTGCATCTGTAATGCACGGTGTAGCATTTTCCTCTGCCTTCTCCTCCCCCTCCTCCTGGTCTGGTGTTAATTGCTTTATCAGGGGACTGGTAAAGAACGCAATTGCTAGGAAGTCCCATTCATTTGCTTACCTGAGTGGTTTCCCAGTGACGGGGCCACCCTGGTTCTAGTGACTTGCAGTTTCAGAAAATTCAGGTGGAAATCATCCTCAGCTCAAGTGCCCAGTTTGTGTCATTACCCTTTAAGGCACCTTTGCCCAGGTCCACCTAACTCTCTGGCCACGGAGGCACTGAAAAACATCAGCTACTGAGATGCAGAATCAGACCTCTGCTGTTGTTGGGTTTTGTCTCTTTTGGTGTGGATGCCCAGACCCTTTAGGTGTTGGTGAAAGTGTGGGGCTCAGCAGAGATGGGTGCTGGGGCTGCCTCTGTCCGTGGTGCTTAATGGGTCCAGGTTACGGTGATCCTTAAAACCCAGACACAGATTTATGCAAAAGCTTAGAAATTCAATAGTTTTTTAGGTTTTAACTGAAATTGTTACAAACCCTCAGTAACACAATACGAAAGAACTGTATTTTCAGGCGCCTTCATATGACCCCTTACAGAGTCAGGCAGCCAAGCCAGTCTGTAACATGTAATTACTTAAATTCCTAATGAACGTACGAGCCCAGTGAGGTGGCGCTGCATTTTATGATCTCAGAGCACTGGTCCACGGTCTTCCTTATCCTGTAGAAAGCTTCCACGTATTCCGAACGGACCAGAAGCTCCACAAAATCCTCATCGTGAGTTATCACCAGAAGCTGAAAGTTACGCTGTTGGGAGCGGCTTTTTATTATCCTACAAAGAGACAGTGTGTAGTATTTATTTAAACCCCATTACTAGTGATTAGTTACTTAGTAATTAATGAGGTACTAGTGATTAATTACTAGTCCTAGTCTTAGAGGACTTGTATAAACAGAACAAAAGTATTTAACTATTGATAAAAACATCTGTTGATCAAAATGTTTAACTATTGATAATGAATGACATGACAAGGACCATCGAGCAACTTTTTTACCCACATAAAAATCCTTAAATTATTTAAGAAACCCTTTTTCCTTTCCAGATAAAGGAGAGGGAATCTAAACCCACTGCTTTGCATGTATATTTGCAGATACTAACAGAGATAACACCATCTTAAACTGTAATTAACTTCTGCCAACTGCTATTAACGTATAAAGAATACCCATCTTTAATGTTCTCAAGAAGGGATCACTTACTGCGTGAGGGCATGGGCAAGAGACTCGATGTTTTCTCGATCAAGGTTGGTAGTAGGCTCATCAAGTGCCAGTATGCCGCAGTTGAGGCAGAATGTTTCTGCCAGAGCAAGACGGATAATGAGAGAAGCAAGCACCTAAGGGGAAAAAAATCACCACCAAAATCTCACTCTTCAAAGTGTTTGCAGAGGATCTACATGTAACATGCTGTTCTTAATGCCACTACAAACCATGGGTAAAGTTTCCATAACGATGTGCTGATAGTTCATAAAATGGCAATAATTAGTGACTGAAAAGCTACATTAAAACTTCAAGTTTGAACTGAAAGAGCTGTTCTGCAAAATGATGTTGGGAAAAATACCAGAGCAGTCAAATACTCAAAACTGGAGGGATACTGGAAGTAAGGATTCCAACCTGAGGTAAGGATGCCACATCAACACCTTGCTCTGTTCAAGCCCCACCATAACACATCAGGGACAGTGGAAATCTGTACGGATGTCACTAGGTTTGAGTTACTGACCTGACGATGCCCTAAACCTGAACACAGGAGGATTTACCACCTTACCCGTTAGCTTTGTGTTATCATACCTAATCGCACTGCTACGAGATCTCCTGAACTAGTGAAAACTACAGAACCCTCGATGGAAACTGTGCTCTCAAAAATACTTTCCAGTGATCACAACTGCTGGCATCACACTTCACGATCAAAGAATTCTGAGAATGTAAGCTAAGAAACTGTGAACAAGTTTCACTCTCATTTACATAGGACTCTAACGTAACATCCTAGAGTACTTTAGGAGAGGACACATTTTTTGCCTATAGTGCTGTTTTAGAAGGTTCGGATTTCCCCTAGAATTTGTATGGAATTTTCAAACCCAAGTAAGTACCTACCCTCATGTGGGATTTAATTTGACAGCATTTTTCATATTCAAGCAACAATACATTATTCACCTTCTGATGAAGCATCCTTTCATGACTCTACTGCTGTATGCACTTAAAGGTATTGTGTATAATTTTGTTTCATTCCTTGATTTCATTTTCTACTACTGCCTGTACCATCTGGTTATGGAAAAGGCCTGGCTCCCAAGAAACAGACTGGGCAGAGAATGGATGGAGAGCAGACTAAGGAAGAAGACTTGGGGGTGCTGGTTGACAAGGAGCTTAACACGACCCAGCAATGGGTATGGTGTGGTATTTGGTGACATGAACTGAAAGGTTATGTTGAGCAGGAGACAGCAGCATAGCTTGGAGAAAAAAAAAGGTTTTTCCACCCTTAGAGGTAGATGCAGTTCTGAAAAGAAGACTGAGGGCAGCCCTCAGGACATCAAAAATAAGGAGCAAGTCAACAGACCTAAAGCTATGGGAACCTTAGTGGTAACTAGCAAGAGACAGACTGGGAGGATTTGAACTTGAGGAGAGAGAAGTTGAACTCTTCACTCCTGCAGGACTTAGACCAGTCCTCAACTGAAACAACCCCAAAATAGGGTTCAGAGGTTCAGGCTCATATATTGCACAGTGAGTAAAATCTAGACACATGAAGGGAAGCTGCACAGAACTGTAAGTTACAGCTGGAGCCACTTGTTCTCCAGGGTCACTCAGAACACATCCCTCTCCTGCATTCACCTGCAAGTTTTTAGTTCATTTTAAAAAGCAAATGTTGTTACCTTCTGCCCAGCACTACATCTTCCTCGCATATCCAGTGCTGTACCTCCCTTTACCATTACCACTCTGTAATTGTAATTTCTTCTTTTATCAGAGGCTGAGACATTCTCATCGGCATCAGAACGAATTTCTATGTACTCAATATCTGAAAACAGAAAGGAGACAGTTTTCACATTATTAAAAATACCACAGGTTACCAGGAGGTGAGGTCCAGTATGCAGCAACCACAAAAGCTCAATTCAGAACTCCCACCAATAGCTGTTTCTACAAAAGGAGTTTTTCCTAAACTGAAAGAATGAACTTGTGCAGTTCCTCTGCTTCAACAAAACTTTACCTTTAGAAAACATGGAAAAGGGAAAATCAACCCTACTTATCCTCTAACTTGCATATGTGTAATAAAAAGATTATTGTGGTGAACAACAGATGCAGCCTTTAGAATGAAACCAACTGGGTTTAGATCCTGGATCTTCCGTGTTTTGAAAAGTCTCTTCCTCCTGCAGGGCTCAGTATCAAAGGGACACCTATGGGCAAAGCTACCACAGTCAGAATCGCACATACCTTGTCCTCTGTAGGTGCTTCGCCAAAGTTCACGGATTATTTTGTTGATTTCTTCCATCTTCATGTTATGAAATGTCATTATTGCTCTAAAACACCAACAACAAACGCAAACTGTTAAAGGTGTGACCACGGACTGCCAGGGACTGGAGGCGCTTTAAGGAAGGCAGCAGCTCCCTTTCCAATCCCTAAATACCTGCACTAAAAATACAACAAAGACGAGTTCAATCTGAATGCAGAGGTATCTAAAGACTAACACACGACTGCATAAATAACCCTGCTCTCACAAACAGCTCAGTTTCAAGAAGCAGCAGAGTCATGAAGACAAAAAGATTTGCAAGAGATAATTTATGTGAGGTATATTTAAGACTGACACCAAGGAGACAAACATGATGTTAAGGCTGCCAAAACAGCAGTACTGTTACTCCTTGGTGCAGTCTCCCAGCAATGCAAATAACTGGGTCTCCATAGGAAAGGAGAGTGGAGAATTCTTCTTGAGACTATAACTTATAATCACCCAAAGAGACATTCTGACTAGAGCTGCCTTTCTCCTCAGCAGCAAGAGGAACATAGGATGTCACTATTTCCAATTTAATTCCCCTGCTTAACGTATCAGCATGACTTTAGTTCAATAATAGACAAACTCCTTATGAAAGCATTCAATAAAGGACAGGATTCCTAACTTAGTTTTTTAAAGCCAAAAGTATTCTGTAATGAAACAGTATGGTGGAAAGAAAATATACTTCTGAAATGGACTCCTTTTACATAGGCTTTTCCTACTTCCCCTCTTACAGGAAATACTTCTACCTCTTCTGGGGAATACTGAAGAATCAACTCTAATAGGATTTGTTAAGTCCGAAGAAAGAAGACCGTGTTTTCAACTGTTTACTTTGTCAAACCCAAGAATGCATTCCTCATCAATATTTATCATAAACCTCTAAATATTAAGTCAATAGAGATGATCAAGTGATAGCACAGAACACCCGAAAAGTCAGTTTTCCCAGCTACAGAGACAGCTTTCAATCTCTGGCCATTAGAGCTAACATTTCGTCTCACCGATCTTTGAGACGATTACCAATAAGTGATGCTTATCTATTCTTCTTGAAATTACCAGACTGGTTTCCTGTTTTGCCTTAAATAGGAACAATAGATGATGTGATACCACACAGAAAGATTCTGAATTCTAAAAGGGAAGTTCTTGGAGTGCATTTCCATTTAAGCTGAAAGGGAAGAATTATGCAAGCTCTGAACCATTTAGATCTTCACAAAATACATTATGGTTTAGCTTACATTTTAATTCTACGTTTAATTTTATCTTATCATTAAAACCGCTCAAAACAGGATTCCTCTAGACCATCTTTTCAACTTGGAAAGTTCTCCTCTGCTTAGTTTCTCTTCTTAACCATCATGCTGTATGCTCAACCACACTACTGCTCTTCCACGCTGCTTTTTCCGGACCCTATTCAATGCAGGAGACCAAAATTCCATACTCTATTCAAGACAAGGGTGTGCTGGGAATTCATACGGTGCCCAAATGCTTCTTTCTTTCTTTTTCTCTTTTTTTTGTCCCTAATATTTACTTCATCTTTCTGTCACTGAGAACCAGTTTTGTATTTCCTAAAACGTATGCACTGACTCCAAGATCCTTCCCCATCACCCACCAAGTTGCAGCACCTCACTGCAATTCCATTGTAACTGGACATTCAGGGCGGTTCTCAGGGAGCCCTATCTTTTACTTTGCATATGTTTACAACTGCTGAGATGCTATTTTCGGCCACTTAGCCCAAGACTAGAAAACCAGCTTCCAGAGGAAGCAGACACAATCACAAAGTTGACTACACTTTCCACCAAATGCAAGACCTGCTGCTTTTCATCTTGCCTTCTCTAATACAAGCACAAAACCACCCACAGTGGAAACAGGGGAAAGCCACCTCTGTATAGTAATATTCTTTCATGCAAACACAATTGTTTACCTCAGAAGATCACGGGGAACAAAAAATCTACCTGGTGTGTCTTATTTGTGTCAAGATACGACCAGAAGATGCTAAAATATACTGCTATAGAAACGGAAGAGTATGAGAGACTGTGCAAGAAAGACATGGGTTAATAATGGAGGATTTAAAGCCAGATTCCACCTTGCCTTAATTCGTACTGTGGAGCATTTTGAGATAATGTGAGACAACTTTTAAGAACACATTCTCCCCATTAGCCATCACAAATCCTGTAATACTTCACTTCCCTCACAACCAAAACCCACCAAGAGACAGGCAGAAAGGAAAACCACCACTAATTCTGAGACACACAAAAGCGTCCTAAAAATGCCTTCAAAACACTATAGAGGAATAGGGACAGAGGAGCAGCCTCCAGCTCCACTGCCTCCTCCATGTGTCCTCATATGAAAACTGAAGCTGAATGTGTTTGTTGTCTGGATACTCTCTAACCACCACTCAAATGTCAGTCCTAACACATACAGCCATAAGTCAAAACAGGTCCTACAGAGAGCTGAGAATAAATTCACCATGATCACTAGACTTATCTATGACTCTATTAAACTCCAGTTATTACCAATGCATTCCCTGTATGTACATTAGATACATTAACTTACAAATTTCCTACATCCTACCAATCCTGTGCAGTTTGTAGCATATTTTCATTAATTTGCTTTAACAGTTGTACCATGTCACGTTATGTTAATATTTAAATGCCAGATTTTATAAAGAGAAATCATTAAATATCTCCCAGACTTGTATTGATTTCCTATTTGTAAGTCACCCCTGGAAGTCTGAAACTGAAGCTGCTTTTGGATCAAGGTTATCATTAGTAACAGAGATTAAAACATTGAAGAATCGCCCTCAGATGACAGTACTTACTTATCAAGAGCCTTGTAATAAAGGTCCAGGTCTTTGTTCACTAGCTCTGTTGTTCTCATGACAATCATCATGTCCCTGTATTTTCCCTCTGCATCTTTGAATTGTGGCTCTCGAAGTTCCTTTTTAAACCGGACAATCTCCTCCTCAAATCCATGCTGCCGACCAAGGGCAACATGATGGTTTCTTTTCAGAGATTCGATTTTCTCCTCTAGATGTTTCTGTTCACTGTGAAACCATAACTGACACGTAAGTCTTTTGTATTGAGTGTTTCACAATTTATCAGTCAGGGTTCTAATTTGGAGCTGATGCAGGTGGCTCATTTTATTGTATCTACAGTTAAAATTATAGTCCTAACATCACTGAAATGAAGACATTATTGAAATAAAAGCATTTTTAACTTTGGGAAGAACATATTCAAATCACTATTGTGGGTGGGAGAAGCAAGTTACGGAGGTCGGACGCCAAAGTGCTGTATGTAGAAACATACAATTCATTTCAGAGGTGGAAGTAAATTAGGATGCTGAGCAAAATAAGATGAATTAATTGAGTAACCCCTAGAAAGCTAAATAAATGCTTCACATGTAAGCACCAGCATACGGCTAATTCCTTTTCAAAAGTGTTTATTATCAAAGCAATTAGTATTAAACTACTGAAGTAAATACAAGCTTTTCTGCTGAGACCTACATAAGCAGGCTGTAAATGACAACTAAATAATCTGATCCAGAGACACGAGTTATTTTTACATGTGCCTTTAGCAATGGAATTCATTAAAAAGATGGCTTAGATTGGAACAGGCACGGACACAAGTGCACGTGTGTATTGCTAGCCAGAAGTACTATGTAATTCACCGACTCATTTGTGTTGTCATCACAGGGACATTACACAAACGTGAATTTGAGGAGGAAGTGGTCTGCGTGAATGGGGAGAGAAGTGGACCAGGAAACCCACTAAAAACCCAGTGAATATCACATTCAGACACCCAGTGAATTCTTGTGCAGAACATGCCTTGCTGTTTTGAAGCCACTTACTTTTTCATTTCCGGGACTTTCATTTCTCCCATCTCCCTCACAAGTTGCTTTATATTGTCTTCAACATCTTTGAGCTCTTCATTCCTCTTCCTCAAAGTAAGATTATCCTGCAGCCACCTTTCCTGTATCTGTCGCCACAGAAAGCAAGAAGCTGTGTAATGCTTCAGTATATTGATTCCCAGTTACACAATATGAGCTCTGCACAACTCTAAAGCATGCTGCAAGCATAGAATAACCGGTGACAACAAAAATTATCAGAGTGAGAACTCATCTTGTGCTGGAAATAGGGTATAAGGAAACTAGCAGTATTATTTCATACTTCAATCTGAAATAACAGTATTTATTGTCACAGGTGAACAGATTTACTGTCACAGAGTTACCCTGTGTGTGACTACTATGCAGTGTTTCAAACGGGGCCGTAATTTAGTCCCCCATGTCAGTTCTGTTATGTTAGACAGCAGAGCAGGGAAAGACATCTTTCCTATAAAGAATGTAAACAGCATTTGAAACACATACACAGGAATTTAAGGTACATGACAAAACCTGGAGGAAGTAGCAGCTTGTGGTACCTGCAGTTCGGTACCTCACTTCAGAGGGCAGGTATCCTCCACATAAAGGCTTTTAAAATGCATCTGCTTTTGTATATACAAATCTCAAGCCTTTTTCCAGCCTAATGCACACAGAGCAGCTATTCTGACTAACACCTGATCAAGTAAATCAAGAGAAGACAAACTTTGCATCACCATGGACATAGGCAGACTTAAACCAAACCCAGAAATCAGTTTAAACTATGCAAAAATACGTTTACTCTAAACCAACACATCTACCTTTTGAGTGTCAATATCCTGTCGAATCGTTTCCATCTCTTTACTTATCTTTTCCTTCTGTTTCTCCCAGTCAGCTAACTGAGAATTCACTTCACTAAGTTCAGACTCCTTTTGCTAAAGAAATAGAACAGCAGACAGTTTAAACACAGAAGTATTTCTGATGTCAACCCTTCATTGACTGGGGTTTAGGTTACCTTTTTATAGTCATCTCTTCCTTTTTGAATATAGTTTTCTATTTCTTTCACGTACTTGTTGATATCTTTAACTTTCTCATTAATGCCATTCATCTGCAGGGAGAAGTTTTCAAATGAAATGCAGTCTTTTGTTCAAGAACTGATACACTGATACCCCCTGTATCAAATATTAGATACTGGATAACACTACTGTCAAAATACAGTTCCTTATCGTAATTCCCTTTAATTTACTTATAAAGCCTTCAGCTTCTGAAAGCCAGATGCTCCTTATCACCACGCAAATGTCTTCCAAAACAAATGGTAAATCACTCATTTGAGCTTATACAAGAGTCACTTCACCTAGGGAAAATGTGGTTGTCTCTTAGCCAGGACATGTTAAGAGTCACCCTTCCTATTCCTCTTAGGTCTATTAGGAAGGGCTTCTTAATATCACTGGTCACTAAATATGGGCAAATGTCCTTTTAACAAGACAGCCAAAGGTTAATTACAATTGAGTTCATCTCCTGACCGAGTTATGCTCCTTTTCTATCCCCAAAGCTCCACCAATCTAAAGCACTCACTAAAGTCACCATTTCCTAAAAGCAAACTTGTTGCCACAGCTTCCATCCATGCCTGAAAACCAACATATAACCTTATCTTCCAGCTAAGCCAAGAGCAAACAAACCTTATCCTGTGTTTCTTTATTACTTGTAGTCCTTTTATTCACTAGATCCTCCTTCTCCTGCTGCAGCTTTTCTAAAGTGGCATCCAAGGGAAATACCTGTTCTTTTGCTTCCTGCAAAGTAGGTGGAGAAAATCCTTTTTATTTTCTTATTCCATTAAAGAGCCATAATTTTTCCAAGTGGTAAAAAAGTCATGTGGTTACTGAGCTCTTTTTGTGTGTGTGGTTACTGAGCTCTTTTTGTGTGTGTGGTTACTGAGCTCTTTTTGTGTGTGTGGTTACTGAGCTCTTTTTGTGTGTGTGGTTATTGAGCTCTTTTTGTGTTTTCATAAACATGAAAATATGTATTAATAAATTCTGGACATTCCCAAAGATACGTAATAGCAACACCTTAAAAATACATCTTATTTTCTAGGATTACAATGTTAAATATAACAGGATTCCAAGTTTTCTCCCAGAACAACAACGCTAAGGGTTAAATGATGAGTATTTCCTACCTTGATCTCTCTGCATAAGGCCTGAACCTCAGTGCTTAACTCCACTGTTTGCTCCTGCAGCTGGTGACGACGCTGCATGTTGCTGGAGAGCTGAAGCTTTTCTGCTTTAAGCTCATTAACGGTGCTCTTCAGCTGCTGGATCTGATTTTGTTGGTCTTGCTTCAGTTTCTGGTTTAACTCAATTTTACCAGTGACTGCAGACGAAAACAGACACCGAGGGAAACAATCTGTTATTACAAACATCTTCCGCATCAAAAGTCAAGTCTAAATTAGGCCAAAGCAATCATTAAACTAAAATGTTAATGGCAGGAAGCTTGGAACGTTCTTGTCAATGCAAAAATAAAATACCAGTCTTGTAGGACCTACCTGTATCCCACAAGTGCTTTTTCTCTTGTTTTTCTTGGCTTACTTGCAGAACAGTCCTACTTAAATCAACCCCAAGCAGCTTAGCCTCCTGCTGAGCAATTTTACGTTCAACATCCCTAATATCAGTCTGAAAGTATGAGGAAAAGCACTATTACTATTGTAGTAGTGTTTAACAATGTCTTTTTCATCTCTGGCACACAACGTGATTGGGGCGCGAGGCACACATGACTCAATGCGTTCCCATTCATCCCTGCTGCTGGAGCAATGTCACATCATTATCAGGAAGGTTCTGTCAGCCACAGGCTGCTGGAATCTGGAATTCCTATTTGTGAGAGGAAAACAGCCAGTGTGGATGGGCAGGCTTTAGACACCCCAAGCCCACCTCAGAACAGCTACATGGGCTACTCATCCCCGTGCCAAGAGAACCATTGGAGCCTCAGGAGCTGCTGCCACTCGTGAAGTGCTCTCAGTCCTTTGCCTGGCTCCAGGCTCTCTCGTGGCTCTTGGTCAAGCCAAGATTTTGTGCTGGTAATACAGGCATGTAGACTGTCAGAATCATAACAGCGCAGGATTATCCATTCCCCTTCACCATATGGCACGGAATGAGGAAGATGTGACAAGATTTCAGAAGTACATAGAGTAAAAGCTGAGAATACACTGCACTATAACGACTGCGAGGACTGAAATACACTTTGGTGTACTTCCAGTCATGCTCCAGCTCTGGATTATGCCTTTCTTCCCAGTTACTATAGCACAGAACTGAACTCAAGGGACTCTGTGGTCCTCAGAAGAAAAAAATCATTGCATAAAGCTTGAAGCTTTATTAGCCCCAAGCTCACCTCTCCTATGCTGTCTTTGAAAGTATTTTTACTTTGCTTCAAAAGTCTTAAGACCTCCAGGTTTTGTCATATTATTGAATACCATTTGATATAGTAAAAGAAATTACCAAACATACCTGGTACCTTTCCATTAGAGTTATATCCTGCAAACGTGCCTTGGCACCTTCCTCCTCAGATAAAGCTGTCTGCAAGAGTGATTCCTGCTCTTCTATCTCACCCTTCAGGCCTGTCAAATCCCTGTTTGCATTCTGTATCTTGTTCCTCAGGTCCGGTATGTCCCTCGCTTGGAGTTCAACCACAGTTTGCCTTGAATAAAACACAAATCCATCAGATTTCCTTTGTCAAAACAGCAGCATAAGTTCAAGACATTCAAGATCACAAAGTCTGTGACAGGATCTAATAGCAGAAGACTAAATTTAGCCAATATAATTCCCTTAACCTTGCCCGTATTTGATGACGCTGACGTTATACACCCAGCTAAGGAAACGCATCCCTCGTGTTGGGTAAGTGAGGTGAAACAAGCAAACAAAATCTCTTTTGGTTTTTAACTTAACTGCAGCAAGGGCTCAAGAGAGGGATGAAATCCCCTGTGCAAGGGTGCCCTCTTGTGAAGGAAAGGATTTCTTGAGGCTCAAGCACCCTCACCTCCGGGCAGGAAACCTGCAGACTCTGCCCTTACTATGAATGCTGTTCATAAGCTAACAGAAGAGAAAACCAGGACTCCGACCAAACCTCTTTAGGCCAAGTGTTATTTGTTGATGCTTTGGAGCCTGTCAGTATTTTCACAGCTTTAAAAAGACAGACTAATTCAGCCTGGAAAGTGGGAAATACCGCAGGCACCTTTCCTGCACTTGTTAATGTTACCCACACTTTGTGTTACCCTGCGTGTTCAAAACACCCCCCCCAAAACCACCCAAACATCCAAACCCCAACATAAAAAGGTTAAGTAACTACAATAACAGAATTCACTCCAATCTATGGATTGTCTGTATCAGAGGCAGACATTCCCAAACAATGGAGCTGCAGCTGAGTGAACCTCAAGGAAACATAAATGGCATTTATGTTTTAATGGCGCTAGAGAAATCCACTACAAAATCCAGAGATGCCTTTCTAAAACAGGACAGTTCATATGAAACTGCCACTTCATATAAAACTACTGTTAAGGGAGATATGAATCAAGATAATTTTCAAGGGGGTTTAATACAGGTTCAGCTCCCATTCTGGCTCTACAAACTCCCATTTCAGCCTTGTTAAGACACATGTTTAAGGTGATGCGGTATAAAAAACATTTCAGTAATGGCAAAACCAGTCTGCCCATTTCAAATTACAAGGATAAGTAACAAGGAGGGAAACTGTGCCTCTATAGTGTAAATAATCAGCAGAAAATGAGCACGGAACTACTTTTTCTGTCTAACTCTCATGAGACGCCCCAAACGACCAGAAATACCAGGAATATAAAATAGTTTAACATTAAAGTCCAAAGGAGTGGAGAACAAATGCTAGGAAGATACGTAACAACTGAGAGTTCCTGATGAATTAACAAGCACTACAATCAATCCTCCTCGATGCCTGCATTACTTTCAACAATAAAACCCAAGGATGTGAAAGCAAACAGCCTGCACCAATCCAGGGCGCTAAGGACTTTACCTCAGTGGTTTCAGACTCATCATTTCATCGCGTTTCTTCTCTTTCCTTTTAAGCTCGGACTCTGTTGACTTCAGTTTGTCTGGAGCAAGACGCAGCTTAGACTGCAGATCACTGATGACATCTTGCAGCTCGGCCTCTGTTTCAAACCCCCTCTGGCAAACCGGACAACACGGCTGCTTCTCCTCCGTCAGCTGCGTGATGAACTGGGAATAAACAGCAGTGGCTCCCGCAAGCACGGCTGCGTTAAGAAGAAAAGACTTTATGTTGACTAAACAGGGCGTAATCAGATCCCATCTGTACTTACCATAAAAGAAGACAACATTATAACCCATAAATCACACAGGTAGGGAACTGAAATGGTTCTAAGTGACCTGGTTGGAATTCAGTGCTGCCCCTGAATCACCTCAAGTCCTTGCCAACCTGAATTCTTCTATGAGTGTTTTATTAAACCATGCTCATCCCTCTGCAATCAACAGCAGAAGTGATTTAGGAAAAAACAGTTAAGACACAGTAAAACTCTTTTCTGTGCCTACTGTTTGCCCTGCACAAGCAACAGATCATCTCAGTATCCATGGCTTACACTTAAAACAAGCTTTAGGAAAGGAAGTAGCTATATGCGGAGGTACCTCGCTGTTTTGAGCTCTTCTCAATTTCATCCTGAAGCTTGTTCAGATCACTGTCGAAGTCTTGGCTTCCACACACATCAGAGAGTTTCTCTTGATGAAGGGACAACTGCTCTTCTTTGTTTCGCAGCTCACTGCTGATGTGGGTTTTCTGATACTCTACTGACGCCAGTCGCTTGCTGGAACATCAATCAATGCACGGATGCTTTTGTCACAAAACCCCACAGATTTCAAACTGCTTAAGCCAAAACAAAGACTTGGGAAGTTGATCTGAAATTGATACTACAGAGCTGTTCACCAGCTCTTCTTTAGTGATGTTTCAGGGAATCCATAGCATCAATGTTTTATTGACTGAAGTACAGCATAAAGTGCTTCATTTTCATTCTCTTTTGGTTTATTGCTGCTTACTGATGAGAAGCTCATTTCTAGCAACAAAGCTATACAAAACTTTACAGAGCACTACAATATCAACCTTTTTGCCCCCTACAACAATTACTGCTTATGAGCTACTACTGAACCTCTTATGCAAAGAATGCTAGCACCCTTCTACGCGTGCTCCACACTTCCTAATTATGCCATATGCTCGTACTTAAAGTCTTGGGGGGTTGTTCTGTGGAGGTGCAACGTGCATCATTACACACTGTGGTGATCTTACCTATTCCTTCTAACAAACTCCTCTACATGATCAAACGAAATCAGGACAACGTAATCACACATGAACTTGTCACACAGTCACCAAGCACTGTGACTTACAAGAAGGTCAGAAGAGCAGCAGTCTCCACTATCTGCTTTTAGTGCTGCCTCTGACATGCTACACATGCTGTGATTTATTAACTAGCACAAACTGTGGCAGCCCTACATTGCACAAATTCTGCAGGATGCTTTCTTTGATGTCTGCAGATAGCTAAATAAGCAATCATAAGGTAACAAGTATATTAAGCATATTAAACTTCCCAACATTTAAAGTCATATAAATACTTACGGGTCATAATCAATTAACTAATACGTACTGAAGGCTGGCAAGATTATCCCTCGTCTGATTAATCTTCCTATTTTTACTATGAAGCCAGTCTTCAAGCTGGTTTTTATTTGGAAAGTATCCCAGCAGTGATGTCAGCTCCTCAGAATGTCTTGCTTTTACTTTTCTGATCTGCTCTTCTTTGTCTGCCTGGCGAAATGAAGCGTTTTGAGTTAGTTTTTTCGTATCTTCAAGCCCATGTCACTCAATGTGTTCATGCAGTTAATGGCTTCTCTGCAGTCAGACAGAAGCTTTATGTCTGATTGTTGATAAACACCTGAAAACCACACAAATCTCGAGGCCCTGTATTCATTTTATGTCCCTGTCCCATGAGATCATGATAGAAAAATTACCTTGTCTTTCTTCAGCATCTCCATTTGGGTAATAGTTGTGGTATGTAGATTCAATTGCTCCATCTCTTGATCCAGCTTCCTAAGAGCTTTGTCCAGGTTTATTTTCTCATTCTGCAGAGTCCTTACTTCCAGTTCCAGTTTCTCCACATTGCTGCTGCCCTCAGTCTTCTCCAGCTCCTTTTCCTAATCAAGAGCCCAGAAGACTTACACAGTCAATGAAGTCCTAACTAAAGGTAACAGAAGAGAGCTCTCAAGCTGCCTGGCAGCAGTGTCATTTGCTGTTACAGGAATGACACAAGATTTGTAAAGAATAGATGAAAAAGGACAAAGGCTGTGATGCTGGCATATTTTTCTGGCCCAATAATCTAAGACTGACTGACCTTATGATATTCCCCAGCTGTGGCTATTACCCTGCTTATACCAAGCAGCATCACTCTATCCTATGCATGCAGTATAGAAAAACAAAGCAGTGAACGGTCCCTGTCCCAGACGGCCCACCATCTAAACAGACAAAGCATAAGAGAGGGGATTAAAAGGGCAAGAACGCAGCAGATGGAGTAAACGTCAAGAGGCTTTTGTTTGTTTTAATGATACAGCCAAAAGGTTTTACTTCAGACTCCTATAAACGCTTTAGAAAGGTGAACTTACTGTCCTGGCAATCTCCTGCTCCAGCTCCAGAATTCTGTCTGAAAACCCCTCCAACTGCTGCAATTCGTGTATCACACTCTCCAGCTCAACTTGTTTCTTATCTTTAATGCCTGATTTCAGGTCAATGGTTTTTTCTAATCCAGTTTTCTGGTCTCTTTTTTCATCTATCTCCTTCTGTTTCATTGCTTCTTTTCGTGTAAATTCCCTCTGAAAGAAGTCAGCAACAATACACTCATTTTTTCACAGGGAAACAGCATTTAAACACACTTCTTCACACAAGCTTGTGAACAGTCACCACTGTAATACAAGCCATTGAAATATGCAGATAACTAGAACTTGTCAGGGATTTTCTGCTGAAAGGTCTCGATAGGAAGATGCAGATGCATCGCACTGGAGTGTTCTGTGAGAGCAGCTCCATTTGAAGATGACTTCAACAAACAGTTGCTTGTTTTTAAACCAGCTGCCCACTGTAATTCATCCTCAGGGTTTTTAGCTTCTCAGCAATCCACCTGCCTGAGAGGGCTGCCGAGAAAAACCTATCCAAAGAACTGCCATCAGGTCACTTGATGACCACACTGAGTTCCAAAACTCGTCCCCAAGGAAAGATTCACACAACCCATAACAAAGAATTCCAGAAGGAAAACCAGCTTCATTTCCCTCCCAACATTCTTCCTCCCAGCACCGTGAAGGCACCTACGGACCAATATCACACTGCTAACCAATACTAACCCCACTACTAAACCAACAAAATTCTCACCATCAAATGCTGTGCAGCTTCTGTATCTCTTCGCTGCCTCTCCTTCAACAAGGTGTGAAAACTGGTAATGTGCCATTCATTAAAAGGTTTCTGCTCAAAACCATCTAATTCCAGCTGTGCTGCCAAGGACTGAATTAATGAATCCCTCGTGGAGATGTGTTCTTGGTGACGATCTGCTTCCAGCTGAAGACGACCTTCACAAGACAACATGATATAAGCACCCAAATACCGAGGCAGAAGAGATACGCTGAGTTGTGACTCATTTTCTGGAAGTATTTGAAACTGGAGTATGTTTTAAACACCACAAAAAGGGTAGAGATGAAGTCTAAAATACCTCGTTCAATAAGGAGCTCCGATTTCTCACTGTTAAACCTCTGGCATTCTTTAGTGGCTCGATCCAATTCCCGCTTACAGTCTAATAATCTCTTCTCCTTCTCCTTCACTGTTTTCTGGTGGCTCTGGTACCTATCCCTTAGTTGTTCATCTGTTCCTTGAAACACCTGTACAACAAACACAAGAAGTTAACTTGATTCTGTATTAATTACATTTATAAGCCAATTATTGATGTTTTAGAAAACATATCATTTTTGCCATAGCACAATTCAAGAAATAAGAAATAAACACCTCCCATCCAGAAGTTCCATATGAAGACATACACTGGGAAAAGCCAAATGTGCTACAAGCAAAACTGGGAAAAGATCTGTTTTTCTCAGCCTGATAAAACAAATTCACCTAAATTCTTACCACCGAAGGATTTCTTCCCATTTACCCAAGAGGTTTTAGGATGGCCTGGCACAATCTCAACAAAAGACTGACCATTGCTTCTTATTTTAAGAGAAAGAAAGACAAAAATCTCCAGGGAAATGAGCAATATTCATGTCAGGAGACATCCCATAATGGTCAGTCTGGCTGTCATCAGCATATTGTGAGAGAGAAATACGCTGTTACCCACCATAGGGCATTGTTACCAATAATCACCACTATTTCCTGACAAGCCAGATGATGGAGGAGGGAAAAGTTACAAAAAGCCATTTAACCCAAATGACACAGACACTAATACAGCTTTACTGAGCTGTATTTGCAGCAGCTGCTAATATCAAGTGAGTTGCATGGGCTATGGAAATACTCTTCACCAACATCTGATGCAAAACAGAACATACACTTAGAGTGAGGCATCCTTGCCTATGGCAGGGGGGTTGGAACTAGATCATCTTAAGCTCCTTTCCAACCCAAACCATTCTATGATTCTACTTAGTTCACTGGGTAGCAAAAGACAAACCGATTGTACAGCAGAAGGGATGATAGCATGGAATTTAAGAGGCAACCTTCTCCATCTTCTGTTGCAAATCCTGATTATCCTTCTCCATCTGCCGCCTCCTGCTCTCCAGGGCCTTGACGTCGTTGTCTATCCTCATGACCTTGGTGAGATTCTGCTCGACTCTTGCCAGAGAACTCTGCAAAGGGAAGAATGCTGCAAGTAAAACATCTCACGGCTGATGAATCCCACAGTCTATTGCTCCACACAGCAGTCTACATGAGAAACTTTCACCTTATGAAGTATTTTACACCTGGGCCGGAGCAATCCCAGGCACAGCTCCAGGTTGGGCAGAGAAGAGATTCAGAGCAGCCCTGCGGAGAAGGACTTGGGGATGTTGGTTGATGAGAAAATGAACATGAGCCGGCTTCAGTGTGTGCTTGCAGCCCAGAAACCAACCGTATCCTGGGCTGCATCAAAAGGAGCGTGACCAGCAGGTCCAAGGAGGTGATCCTGCCCCTCTGCTCTGCTCTCGTGAGACCTCACCTGGAGCACTGTGTGCAGTTCTGGTGTCCTCAACATAAAAAGGACATGGAACTGTTGGAACAAGTCCAGAGGAGACCACGAGGATGATCAGGGACTGGAGCACCTCCTGTATGAAGACAGGCTGAGGAAGTTGGGGCTCTTCAGCCTGGAGAAGAGAAGCTGCGTGGAGACCTCAGAGCAGCCTTCCAGTATCTGAAGGGGGCCTATAGGGATGCTCAGGAGGGACTCTTCATTAGGGACTGTAGTGATAGGACAAGGGGTAATGGGTTAAAACTTAAACAGGGGAAGTTTAGATTAGATATAAGGAGGAAATTCTTTCCTGTGAGGGTGCTGAGGCACTGGAATGGGTTGCCCAGGGAGGTTGTGAATGCTCCATCCCTGGCAGTGTTCAAGGCCAGGTTGGACGAAGCCTTGGGTGAGATGGTTTAGTGTGAGGTGTCCCTGCCCATGACAGGGGGGTCAGAACTGGATGATCTTAAGGTGCTTTCCAACCCAAACTATTCTATGATTCTATTATTTTTCAGGGTAGGGGGTTTAAGTTTTACTTTAGTTTTCATTTTAGTTATAGGTTATCATGGTTCTAGTTACCAGCTAAATCTGAGAAAGAGAGGTTTTAAATTAAGCTATAAACCCCCAACGCTGCTACAGGAATTTCCCAAAGGATGCTCTTAAACCTCCATTGACTGTTTACAGACTAGACCAGCATCTGCCAGGGTTGTTGAGGTATGCTCGATTCTGCCTCAGAACAAAGGAGTAGATAACGCAATATAAAAGACTAAGATCTCAATCAAGAAATTCATCGAGCTTTCCCACTTTTCTGTGTTCTTTATACTTATGAACTGCTTTGTATCAAAGTCTTAACGTAATCATGATGCAAACTACCTTGAGAGGATCAAGCTGACTCTCAATTGCTTTTACATTCTCCTTGGAAGCAGCCAGCTGAGCCTCTCTGTTGCTCAGATGATCCTGGATTTCCTGTGCTTTCTCTTTATTCTGTTTCAGGTATTTCAGCTCTGTCTGGCACTCCTTTACTTTCAAGCCTTGTTTCTGCCGGACCTGACGGAGAGTTTCGAGTGCTTTAATATACCTGTAAACCAAACAGCATCTCAGATCCTATGGGCCATAGAGTAACAATGTACAAAACAACACCTTAGGCATCTTTGTCAACAGCTACATTATTAGGGAAGACAATTTCTTACTTAGGTGTTATTTAGTTACAGTAAAGAGAAAAACCTTGTTGCTGAGAAGATCTCATCAAACTTCTGCTTCAGGGCCTTCCCTTCACTTAGGGGCCAGTTGGATTCTTCTTGGTGGCAGAAAATGACATTGTTGATCACTGATTTGGAGACACCAAGGGCGCTGATCATCTCTCGATCGATTTCAGCACACTTGGAGCTCAGGCTGACCTTCTCCCCGTGCCTATGTAGCACAGGTAAAGAAAACCCCCAAAGCAGTTACTAGCGAGTTCTTGTAAAAGCAGTAAAGTGCATTTTAAGCAGTGTAATCTCATTGCAATGTACTGATTAAAAACCTTAACAAGCTCCCATTTTTAAGCACATAATTACCATTTTCAGCCCATGCATTTAACACTGTCGGAGTCTGTATCCAAGGCTATCATTACACATTTTATAGCTATGCAGAACCACCAGAGGGAATAAAAAAGATCTTGAATGCAGTGAACACACTTGTCAAATAGTGGAGATACAGTTAAACGTGGGCTCACAATGATCTGAAACTGAAAATGGTGCTGAAGGAAGCAATGCCTACATGTTCCACACAATGCTACCTTCAAGCTCTATCATCATTAATAATGATCATTATTAATATAATTTTCAGAGAAATGCAAGTGAGCAGGTAAGTATTTCCTAAAGCAGTGGCTATCAAATGGAGGAATTTCTTAATCAACTAATAAAGGGATATAACTACATCTAAGAGCACTGGTGGCTACTTCAATGAATACATTATTAAGTTTTCTCTTGTCTTACACACAAAAATACATAAACCCCAAGCTGATCTCCACGCCAAAGTAAGGAAGCAAACCTTGACAACTTACTTTGTTCTAGTAATGACAGATTCAAGGGTTTTAAATTCTGGTTTCTTGGCTTTCTGGGAGCAAACCATGGATCGCTGCACAGCTACGAGCTCTCCATTGACATCTCGAAACTGCAGTCGAATCTGAGCTCGAACATCTGTTTCATTGGCAACCTTCAGTAGAAACAAAATACTGAGTAAGGGGAATTCTTGTCAATGCTCACATGCAAATGGACATTCCAGCTGTGGATAATGTTCCGATGTCCCCCAGCTCCCTGTTTTTCCTGAAGCAACGCAGTCAGCTCATGTCTGCTTAGAACTTGAGCATCCCTGTTTCCATCACAAACCTGAGTGCAGTGAAGTATTTTACTTAGGAATATACACACATTCAATCTAATCACTGTGACTTTTACCTTTGGATCGTGAACAAATGAGTTCCCTTTGGTGCCAGGAGGAAAATCTCCGGTGGATATGTATTTAAGACATTCAATGATAGTCTGTGAAAACAGAAACAAGTATATAGCTATAATGGCAATTTAGAGGGAACAAGCTGGACTGCAGGCAAAACCACCCAAATAGTTACAAACGGGTTAAATATGCGAGGAGAGAGAAATATGAAACAACATTCTCTTTCCTGAGTATCACGACAATATGGTCCTTGGCAAAATTAGCTTTAACCAGGATCTGGGTCAATTCCTTATGAAAATATCAACCAGTGTCCGTAAAACCCAGGCATGAAAGCAAATCTCGAATAATGCTAAACACAGTATTTGCAGTGAACAGCAAGATTTCTGCAGCATCATTAATATCCTGCTGTAGAGATCACTATTTGCATTTTGAGGCCTTTCAGACCCATTTACAGCTCGAAGCCATACATATGCCAAGCCTTACCGTTTTCCCTGCACCATTCGGTCCCACTAAAATAGTTAACGGATTAAAAAAGCTGATAATTTGTTTGTCCTTATCCTCCACACCAAAACTCCTCACTCCGAGGATACTCATTTTCTCAATCCGTGACATTTCTACGGCGCTTCCCCTCCTCCAGGGTGAACGTTAGAAAGCCTGCAAAATAAAACCTTGTGAGAAGCGCAGAAGGCAAAAATCACAGCGCCTCACTGAAAGCGCACAAGGCATCTATGCAAGCATAAAATATTAGGGCTGCCTTTAAAATCACAGCTGAGACTCTTCAGTAATGGCTCAAGTAACACAACAGATAAGGCAAAACTCCTGTTTTTTAACCAGAGAAGCTGTGGCTGCCCCATCCCTGGCAGTGTTCAAGGCCAGGCTGGACACGGGGGCTTGGAGCAAGCTGCTCTAGCGGAAGGTGTCCCTGCCCGTGGCAGGGGTTGGAACTGGATGAGCTTTAAGCTCCAGTCCAACGCAAACCAGGCTTGGATCCTGTGATTTGTTTTAACCCGGGAAGCTACCCAACTCCAAGCTATGAGCAGCGTCACACTATTTACCACTAGACCAAGAACAGCGGCCAAAACCAAGCCTTTACTCCACATCACAAAAGCCTCACACGTGCTTTCAGAATGCCCCAAATACAACACGAGGCCCCAGGACTGATTCTCTTTAAAAATTCCAGTGTAGCACCGCAACGCTACGAGAGCTTCACTCCAGCCGCTGCTCCCCACAGGGCCGCATTCAGACTCTCACGGGACACCCCGGTTAACCCTGTCCCGACACGGCGTGGCAGGGGAAGATAAAAAGCAGGGGACAGCGCAGCCACCGCTGGACGGCCGAGCACAACCCACGGGTGGGGGGGAGCCGATGGAGCCAACTGCCCCCCCCCGGGGCCGCGCTGCCCACGCCGCACACGTGCATTCCAAGCCCGTGGACTGCGATGCGCTCCCGAAGGCCGAAGGAGCGCGGCTCGGCGCCCACGCTGCGCCCCGACGGCTCCCCCCGGCCCCGCCGCCTGCCGAGCCCCCGCCAGGCCACGGCTGCGGTGGGAGGCACCGGGCGGAAAAGGGCATTTCCTGGGCAGAGGCGGCAGCGCGGGGGGGGTTTCCCCGCCCGGAGCCCGCTGCAGAGCGAGGAGGGGGGAGATGAACGGGACGTTCCCCAGGGAGCGGCGATGGCACCGCGGCGGCGGCGGCGGGAGCGGCCCCCCCCCTCCCCGAGCCCGTTAATACCCCCTAAGCCCCCAGCCCGCTCACCTCCGCTCCCCGCCGTCCTCCCGCGCTCCCCAGCAGCCACCGCGGCCGCCGCCGCTCCGCCCCGGCTCAAGACCGCCCCTCGCTGCGGGCGCCGCGGCCGCGTTCGCGTTCGCATCTCTGCGGTGAGCGGAGAGTGAGGAAGGGTGGGGGAAGCGCGGTGCTGCCCGGCCCTTGTGCGCCTGGAACCACAGCGAGGCTCGGCTGGAAGGGAGCTTAAAGCTCCTCCAGCTCCAGCCCCTGCCACGGGCAGGGACCCCTTCCATAGAGCAGCTTGCTCCAAGCCCCTGTGTCCAGCCTGGCCTTGAACACTGCCAGGGATGGGGCAGCCACAGCTTCTCTGGGCACCCTGTGCCAGCGCCTCAGCACCCTCACAGGGAAGAGCTTCTGCCTAAGAGCTCATCTCAGTCTCCCCTCGGGCAGGTTAAAGCCATTCCCCTTGGCCTGTCCCTACATCCCTTGTCCCAAGCCCCTCTCCAGCTTTCCTGCAGCCCCTTTAGGCACTGGAGCTGCTCTCAGGTCTCCCCTTCAGGAGCCTTCTCTTCTCCAGGCTGACCCAGCCCAGCTCTCTCAGCCTGGCTCCAGAGCAGAGCTGCTCCAGCCCTCGCAGCATCTCCATGGCCTCCTCTGGCCTCGCTCCAGCAGCAAGCACTTTGATTAAAACTACAGAACAATAATAAAATTCTCATTCAAGATGAACGGGCTCTGGCAATGCCAGTGCTGTTGGCAGCGGTGTGTGCTCTAGTTTTTCCAGCAATAGGATGAGTCCTTGGGGCTGTGGGTTAGCGGTGGTTCACCATGACGCTGTTGGTAGTGTAAGTGTGATACATCCCTCTCACTGTGACAGATGAGAGTCAGGAAATGGTTTACAAACCTGAGGTGCTTTTTGATCTGGTAATTCACTTTCCTCGGTAGGAAATCTACAACCCAAACTGCAGAAATTCCACATCAGTCTCAGTGCAGGAAGAGAATGTAGTCATGTATCTGTATGATTCCTCCACTTAGGTTTAATTTGAGGGGAACTTTCCCTTTAATCCATATGAAAAATAGGGAAAGAATGACTAACCAAGTGGTATAAGGTATCCTTGAATAGCAGGACTCAAGAAGTGCTGTTAGAGTATATGAGATGTGTGAGGAGCCTCTGCCACATCCCCCTTGCAGCGGTTGTGAGGCACAAGCATTGTACTTAAGCTTCCTATTGTAGCAATTAATACGGGCCATTGTGATCACTCAGATACCATTCTGATGCATGGGGTGTTCAACCCAGACATGTGGCCTCCCATCAAGCAGAAATATTCTACCTCATGGCATATAGTATTCTTTTCCATGTTTTCCACCTGCCTACAAAGGTTGTTGGAAATGGAATATAAGCTGTTTGCAAAGAAACAGTATTGCCTTCTTTTTATTTGCTCTCTCAATGTCTCTTGTGGACTGAGAGTTGCCATGCACAGAGGGGAACGGTGTTGGACTTACACCCAGACGTGAAAATAAATCACAGCAGCTTTTCACATGAAATGCAAACAGCTTCTGTTGTTCCAGAGATGGCTCAGTGGCAGCTGACCGAAAGCCACTGCATGCTTCCAGGTGAGCGATGCCAGCAATTGCTACAGGCTGGAAAAGAAGCCAAAGAAAAACTCAGTTTCCTGGTTAAATTAGAACAAAATTAGAAAGCATTCAGAAGTGCCTCCTGTGTGCATCTGAAGGGAGACTGCTAAATAACGGAGTTGAAATTCCGTGTCTGACAGACAAGATACTTGCATTCATCTGGGAGATGAAACCTTACATATCGATCTCATTTGTCTCTGCTGCAGTTGGGCACATGGCGCTTTACTGGGAGACACTTACCCTGTGCTCCCTTCATGCATTTTTGTCCTTCTGCTCCCACGTGCCTCCCATAATGTCACAGCTCTTTCTTTATCCAGCTTCGGCCAGACTCATGGGCAGTGTCACACAAAGAACCGCCACGGCTCTGCCCATGGGTGACGGACAGAAGCCTCCCGTTATTAAAAATCAAGCACCCCTTCTTCTCTCCCAGGTCATGCCAAGTGATGTCACCGTGGGTGTGACCAGTTTGGGGCAAAATCTGTCATTAGTTCAAAACTGAGTAAGAGGGTGTTGGTGATTCATGTGCTGGTGAGAGCCCCGAGGGATTAGATTATCTGCCAATATAGCAAGAAACGGTTGCTCCTTCAGTTCTTGTTAACTAGAACAACAGATAAACTCTGTTGGACTATCATGTGATATGAATTAGATATGAGATAAACTAATGTCTATACTACTTTGTAATGAAACTGCCACTGTTTGTGAAACGTACCAAAATGCTTGCTTTATAGCCATGCTATGAAACATGGCAATGCTTGTTTGGCTATAAAACAAGCCTTTTCCATGTGGGAAAGGGAAACCTTTCAGATGACCTGCGTTTCTTCTGTCTGGTTTACCACAGGTGCTTTTTATCCCTCTCCATCCATGGTCAGGCAAAAGTCTCTCTTGCTCAGTATCCTGCCACTAGGAGTAGTCAGGCACCGATTTCTACGGATGAATGCCAGTTTGTGTTCTGTTATTCCTTGTGCTCTTCCAGTATGCAAACGTTTTCACCTGGGGGCCTCTTATGTTTCTCTGGATATGCTCTGACAATAGATGCTCTATAAGCCTGGTGTTAAAAGCTTTTTTAAGGGGCTTTTTCAGTTAGAATCAAAAGATTCTAACTAATGGTTCAATTAAAAAAAAAAAAAGGTTTTCTTAACTTGTAGGCATTCTCCTCTGGTTGACTTTTAGGACAAGAATAGGTATTTGAATAGTAAAGGAATAACTGTTTAGCACTGGTTTTAACAAGACTGATAGGGATCTGCTCATAAAATTACATCCTGAGCAATTAATTAGCTGATTGCGTAAGTTTATTTGCAACATTCCGCAACCGTTCGCACAAGGTCTGCTGTGTTTCTTGCTTCTCAAGCAGGTGGCTGTGGAAAGCAGGATGACTCTTCTCACCCTGGCGAATGATGGGTCTCATTTTGCTGGAAAATTATAACCTTTTAATGAGCAACCGTTGGCCTCTCACAAGCCTTTTCCAGGCCTCCGAAGGGAGTTTTTAACCATTTATGAGCACTTCAGTATTTCTCAGTAGATATTTTCCGCTGATGTTAAAGGACAAGCCCGGATGCCAGGACTGCTAATTTCTGCCATTAGCGCCCATCATACTTTTGCTATTTGGCTATGACTAGTTAAACCCATGTTTCCCTCAGCTTTATATTATATACTGAATTTCACAGAAGAGTGAGGCTGAAGGAGGAAGGCTAAAGGAGTCAGACTGGTTAAGTGGTGTTAGGGTCTGTGATGCCCAAGAGCTTGCTATTATTTTTTCCTATACCTAGAACCACAGTTTATGTTAGAAAATCCTTTTGAGCAAAGGATGTCCTACTACTGAGTGGAATGTAAGAACTATTTAGGTTTCCAGATCTCCATCTACCTGATTGTGTGTTGCAGAAATAAGAACAGAGCCACATAAGGATGTGTGTTATAGAAGGAATGCTCCTATTTCCTGTGATGAGCTTTTGATACCGTGTAAAAAAATGACATCTCTTATCTACAAAGGTATTTTCCCTTATTTGATGTCAGAGGGAAGGAAACCCCCAACCTGTCCCCACTGAGGCATCCACCCCACAGTGCCTGTAGTAATTCACACTGGGTTCTTGTGCCTTTTCCTATATGAGAAAACTTTCCCATTGATTTAATATTCAAGGTGTACATGGGTATATATAGGCACCTTGTGGCGTTAAGCTGGCATAAATCAAACCTAGCTTTCCTGGAAGCGAAAATGCTGTTGCTCTATGTCTTCTTATTGAGTAGCTGCTTCTCTGGCTCAATGGGAAGTGCAACAGAAGAATTTCTAGTGAACTTCAAGGATTTAGTGGATCTGGCAGACAAGAAGGTGGGTCATTGCCTTTTCTTCTTCATTGTCTACTGTGTTTTGAATGGAAGCCTAAAATCAAGCCCTGGCTAGTTTCAGCTTAGGTTGCGTGTCCTGTTTTGTTTGTTCAACTTGAGATGCTGAAGGAAGGCACTGCGTGTCAGCCTCTCCTCGGAAGCTGGTGCTGCAATTGTTTCCCCAAAGGAAGTTCAGAAATAGAAAACCTGATGGAGACGATATGTAGTTAGGTAGAGATGCTTAACAATGTGGCAGTCGCTTGGAAGAGAATTACCTTCTAACACTGTTTTCTGCTTTAAAATCTTAGAGCTTTCTTCCAGTACCTGCCAAGAAATTTCAGGTAAGACTTTTAAAGCTTCTTTATGACTTTTGTTGTTAATCCTGTGGAAAATGGTGATGCTTTGCAGAACTTGAGAGAAAGAATGAGTTAGGCTACTAAAAGAGACCGAATCTCACAACAAGGGGAGTACACGTGCTAAGAGTGTTTTCATCAGTATATTCATCATTCTGCCAAATTCAGTGAATTTCCTTGTATGCAAAAAGTCATGGAGATAAATAACCAGTTCTGAGACTTGGCCATGCTCCTGCTGAAGGCAAGCTCAGGAGCTCGTGCAGAGAGCTTAATACTGAGGCTGTTCTTGACATCACTATGAGGTGAAGAGCCTGAGTATGACCTGGTGTCATTTAGAACAGAGACAGTGAATACAGTTGGTGCTGCAAACACTGACATGTTCTTACCTCTCGGCAAACAGCCAAGTTGAGTTGTTACAGAGCATCGTGGAGTTTGAAGGGAGCAACTTGCAGGCAAGTTATCACACACAGCCCTGTTGATCAGTGGGTTTCAGCCTGTGGTCTGCAGGTTTCTCAGGCTCTGGGAAGTGAGAAAGGGTTCATGGAAAACACTGAAGAGCAAGCACTCTGTTGTTGGGAGGCTTTACCTTTGGAGGAATGTTTAGAGTCTGCAGCTTTAAAGGGGCTGAAGAACAGACTTTAGAGACAGAGTGGATGAAATCTTTTCAGGCTCCTCGGTGTGATTTTGATGAATCACTGCAACCCCAATGGATTTTAACACTCTTCTACAACTCTTTGCCCTGTTTCTCCTTTCTATTGTTGGGGGTGGTTTTTTGATGCTACATG